GGAGGAGGCCCGACGCCGGTCGGCCTTGCGCTAGGCCCGGGCGGGCAGCGGAGGAGCCCCTCGCACCTGGCCAGCACTGAAATCCTTCTGTCGGTTGGTAGGTCAGATGTGGGGGCAAACAGGTGCCTAGCTCTAATAAGGGGTTAAAAGATGTTTCGTGAAGCTGCGCGTTGGCTTCTTGAACTAGGGGGCTGTTCCCGGGCTCGCCCTGCTGTCTGCCCGACTGGTGTGAGGGGTTAGGCTGGTGAGGCTGAGCTGCTGAGGAATGGAAGGGACGGAGAGCAGGAGCGGCACTGCCTCCTCGGTCGTCGCAGACTGGAGTTTGGTGTTTTGGACTCTGTGCTCTGTGATCCTGCCGGTGCTGATCACCTTGTGGTGCAGCTTCCAGCGGTCCCGGCGGCAGGTGTTAATACGAGACATCTTTCGCAAGAGCAAGCATGACTGGCACTACACAGACCTCTTTGGCCAGCCCTCCTACTGCTGCGTGTGTGCTCAGCACATCCTTCAGGGTGCTTTCTGCAACTGCTGCGGGCTGCGTGTCAGCGAAGGATGCCTCAAGAAGGCTGACCAGCTTTTTCTCTGCAAGGAAATTATGATGAGGAGCAATGGTGGAGCCCACAGCTCTATGCCACACCACTGGATCAGAGGCAATGTCCCGCTCTGCAGCTGCTGTATGATATGCAAACAACAGTGCGGCACACAGCCCAAGCTCTGCGACTACAGGTACTGTAAGGGAATTTGACTTTGTACGAGAAAGTACGATGCCATATCGGTATTGTATTTTCCTCAGGGTTATTGGAACACATTACCCTGAAGGAGATCCTGCAGCAGTCAAATATGAAACTCTGTTAAAAAAACAACTTCAAAGAACCTAAAATTAAAATGGATGCTTGTGGGTAATTTGAGTCATAGATTAAGAGTATGGCATTGCGTCTCATGTCCACTTGTTCTCTTAATTGCATTACTCCAGCATGATGTGCTAGCTACTGTATAATTACATATAAAAGGCTCTCTGTGACCAAGAGAGATAATATTTTAGGGGATGACCTTAAGAAGGTTCTAACGCACTTGCAATTTGTACAGTGGATAGCCTGAGCAATTTGGGTGGCACAGCTCAGAATTCAAGGCACCAAAATGTGTATGCATCTCTGCAAGATGGACATCTGCTCAGTGTAACTAGAACAAACAACCGTCCTATAGCTGTTTTAAGATAATTTTTAAGGATGCTCAAAAAAAGCTAATGGGAAGTCTTAAAAGCTACTGTAATGTAATCTATTGTTAAAGTTTGTGGTAAGAGCGTTAAAAAAATTTCAAGGAACCGTTGAATGGGCTTGCACTGTCATCAGTAAGGCTGCTTGCAGAGTTGTCGCATGACACATAGTGGCACGTTATGCCAAAATATAATGCTAGTGGTCCAGCTCCCGGGTACAGGGTAAGTGTTACTTCAGCCTCCTCAAAGGATGTCATCTTTCCAGCGTATATTCTGCCAGCTTTTGCTTTGCTTCTGTGTGATACTGTCAAATTGCTTGGTAAGTAAGCAGAATTACAGTGTAAATGAGCATACTATCAGAAACAAAACCTTGAGAGAGAGTGTGAGTAAGAGAGGAGGGAAGGAGAGGCTTTTGGAGGCAAAGGGGGAAGGAAGAACAGGAAACGAAGAAAGTCACAGTACAGGGCAAGTATCATTGCTACTCTGGTTGTGTGCTGGATTAGTTAGAAGGACTCCAAAAATAGCTTTCACAGCTGCTTAAACCAAGGCTTTGGATGTAGCAAACGAGGATTAACATTCTGCAGAGGCCGGCAGTGGATACTGCAGTATTTCCTCTCGTCCTGGTCCATTTTCCAGGACAGCTTTTAGAATAGGTCAAAAAGCTGAGCAGTTTTGCATAACAAAATCCCATCAGCCTTGTACAGTACTGTGTAACCTTTAGGTTTCGGACTTAAAGGGGTATTATCAATCTTAAGAAACATTAATTAATGTTACTAGTAACACTTTATTAAATTGAACTCTGGTGTTTTATCTGTGCTCTTTAAGGATGGATAGGAGTTCAGTTTCTCAGACAAGCTTTCAGTGTAACTGTTTATATTGCAGAGAATGCAAAAGGATATTTATAGCACTTGTTTTTGGAATTAAAGAATAGAATTAATTTAAAACTGTTGGGTTTTTTTTTCCACAGAATTCAAATACTTTTGTAGACTTGCAAGCACATGACCAAGTTATGTGATTTTCTATAGCCAATACAGAATCATGTAAACTTGCAGGGAACGCATGGTTTTCTCTGTAACCTGCTTAAAATGTTACTTATAATGGTGCATGTCAACATAAGTGCTTTTTAGAAAGTTAGTCTATCTAAAATAAATGAGCAAAATCGATGTGCCTGTTGTTTGAGGATTTTTTTCACGGTTTTTGGTCTTTTTTCCAGATGTGTGTGGTGTCAGTACACTGTACATGATGAATGCATGATGGACTGTTTAAAGACTGAGGAGTGTACATTTGGAGAATTCAGAGACTTAATTATTCCACCATACTATCTGTCTACAATCAACCAGATGCGTAAAGACAAAAGAACCAATTATGAAAAGGTAATTGTCTACTGCTTCTTAGTTTTATAATATGTTTTAAAAAAAAAAAAACCACACACATTAAAACTGCAACTCAGTATGTTGTCAGGTTAATAACTATCAAATAAATGTTTCAATATGTATGAGGTACTTGCAGTGTTAATTCGG